CCCCGAAACTTAAGGCCTACGGCAACACAAACTTAAAAACCAAGGGAATTACAAAAGTGACAGTCGAAGTCGACGGACTGCAAAAACTTCTACCTGTGGTCGTAATGAAAAATGCCAAACCAATGTTATTTGGTTTACATTGGAGTGAAGTTTTCGAAATGGAATTTCCAAAACCAGTATACTCCATCAAAACATCAACACCGATTACTCTTAAACAAATACTGGATAAACATTCACAACTCTTTGATGGAAAACTAGGAAAAGTTAACAATTATTACGTAAACATACATGTCAAACCAGAAGCTGAACCGATCCACCTTCCTGCACGGCCTATAAAATTCAGCATGAAAAAGAATATAGAAAGGGAGATAGATCGTCTGATCTCAGAAGGGATAGTGGAAAAAGTAGATCCTAATATTACACCTATTGAATGGGCTACACCCACAGTTAACATTCTGAAATCTACAGGGGAAGTTAGGATATGTGGAGACTACAGAACTACAATTAATCCAGTACTTATTAAACATCTACACCCAGTTCCAATTTTCGATCAACTACGCCAAAATCTCGCAAACGGTAAATTGTTTTCAAAAATAGACCTTAAAGACGCATACTTTCAATTTGAAATAGCACCGGATTCGAAAAAGTACTTGACGTTGTCAACACATAAAGGGTATTTCCAATACAATAGAATGCCTTTTGGAATATCGACTGCTCCTTCAATTTTCCAACATTTTCTAGATCAACTGCTAGGCTATATCACCAATGTAGCTGTATATTTTAACGACATAGCTATAGCAGGGAAAGATCTTTCAGAACATTTACAAACTTTATCTATTGTATTCGATCGCTTACAAAACGCTGGCCTAAAAGTTTATTTAAAGAAATGTAATTTCTTACAGAATCAGATTGAATACCTAGGTCACATAATAGATAAACATGGCATCCACCCAACCAAATCCAAAATTGATGCCATAACTAAGGCCCCAGCACCTAGTAATGCAAAAGAACTACGATCATTTTTAGGACTAGTTAACTTTTACGAACGGTTTGTACCACATCTTCACGGGATTTGTTCGGATCTTCATGATCTAACTAGTAAAAAAAAATAGATGGCGTTGGACTGATCACGAAAACAGAATATTTAAAGATACAAAGAAATGCATAACGTCTTCCCAACATTAATTGCATTTGACGAGAAACGTCCCCTTTATTTAGCATGTGACGCTTCCGAAAAGGGATTGGGTGCAGTATTATTCCACAAGAATTCGAACATAGAACAACCAATTGCTTTTTCTTCAAGGAAACTACGACCAGCGGAAATGAAATATTCCGTTATTGATCGTGAAGCTTTAGCAATAGTATTTGGTATAAAAAAAATTGATCAGTACTTGAGAGGAACGAAATTTAATCTAGTTACGGACCATAAGCCTCTTATACATATTATGGGTGCACGCCGCAACCTTCCTAAACTAGCCAATAACCGATTGGTAATATGGGCTCTAGTAGTGGGAAGTTATCAATATGACATTTACTACAGGAAAGGTGAAAATAACACATTAGCTGATTGCCTTTCCAGATTACCAAACCCTGAAACGGAACCCTCCGAGACAGAAGGGCTTGTACATAAAATATTGTGCGACGCTCTCTCCAAATGGGTGGAAATACGACCGATGAAACACATCAACACCAGATCACTTTGTCTTACATTAGATAACATATTTTGTACATTTGGCTTACCAAAAATGATTATATCCGATAATGGACCTCAATTTACATCTTATGAATTTAAAGAATATTGCACAAAACAGTCTATTTTACATGTTACATCATCTCCATATCATCCTCGGACAAATGGGCTGGCAGAACGTTTAGTCAGAACATTCAAAAATAGAATGGCATCGGTAGACAACACAAATCTCGAGCGCCGACTATTAGAATTTTTGTTTACATACAGAAACACTCCGCACTCGTCCACTGGTAAATCTCCAGCTGAGATGAATTTTGGAAGACAATTGAATTGCATACTTTCCAACATTCGGCCAGACAAAAGAAGATTAATGCAGTATTTACAAGTAAAAGAAAATATCCGTACCACATCACCGAGCTACCGACCAAGTGACCAAGTATATATTAAAACACGCAATGATAAAATATGGGAACCATCGGTAATTACATCCCGAAAACATAATTATTCATATATTGTTTCAACACCAGGAGGACTAGAAAAACGAAGACATGCTGATCACATCAGGCCACGCGAGTCCTCCACCTCAGAAACCCCGAGGAATGAAAGGGCGCATTCTTCTATACTGTCGGCGACTGCTTCTCCAGACATTGGAATGGAAACAATAATTAGCGAAAGGCTAACTAAAAACAAGAATTCGGCAGCAGTACCATTACCTACACCGCAGTCGCCTACAAATGTACAAATTTCTCCAAATTCACCTTTACAGCATTTGAAGTTATACTCCTCACCTGCTCCGGTCTTCACTCCTGTGCCATTTGCTCCGCGTCGAAGTAATCGACGTATACAGGCACCCCGCCGTCTGATCAACGAGATGTAGATGGGGAGGAATGTTGTATCCTTCTTTTCTATATTCCATTATTTGAAATATACTTCGAACACATTGTCATTTTTACCACCTATCATTATTATATTTTATGCTATGTCTTGAAAACATTGTTTTATTATAATAAATAAAAGACCTAACTTTTGTATAAAATAAACTTAAAACAAACAAAAGGAATCCGTTCGACGGGGGACACATCTATGGAAAAACAAAATTGTTATTTTTATTTAATTCCGAGCATTTTTATATTTATTTACCTTTTAAACCTTCTCTGGACTTCCACAAATAATTCAAGACCAAAATTAGCCAAATCGGTCCAGCCGTTCTCGAGTTTTAGCGAGACTAACGAACAGCAATTCATTTTTATAAATATAGATAATATTATAACATTACTGTTCTTCCTCATACTTCACGTTCAGTGAGAACTGCCAGTTTATTTTGAAGGTTTTCTTTTGTTTATTTATAGACGTGTTGACGAGCTGACGGCTCACTTGGCATTAAATGGCTACAAAAGTCTTTGGACATCACAGTGTGGAATCCACCACTCAGCTTAACACATACACTAGCAACTTGGTTTACTTGTACTTGACAATCACATGGCAATGGTTAAAGATTCGCCTGTTTCTCAAACCTCTTTCGATATAGAAAGAATATTTCTCACGCTGAAATCGTCAAAGTCGTAAATTCTTTCAAGAAGATGACAGACGTCTATTAACAAATATCACTCAAAATTATTAAAGCGTCTTCATTAAATTTCGTATTATTAAATACTTCGCTGTTGTTCATAGATAAAAAAAATCATTTATAATACCGTTCGTCATGATAACAAATAGTTTCCTTCAGTGGTTTTTCATTTCAGAAGTGCTTTGCATGGATTTATTAGATCAATATGAAATTGGGCAACAAATCTGCAGCGCGTATGGTCACATGTTGATATTAGGAAAATTTGTAAACGAAAGTCACTTCTTATGCTTGAAGAATGGAGCTATAGGTCTATTTTTGTTATTAATTGTAGACAAGTTCAATTAAAAGCGATTTAGCGAGGAAAAAAATTGCAATTATGATTTTAAGGTTTATAGAAATCATAGTTTTATTCCGGAACATTAATTGGATATGAACAATAGATATACATAATTTATTTTGTGTTTTGTCAGTACCGCAAAACCTTCCTCACTTCCGTATATACTACCACCAAATAATGAATTCGACAAGATCCTTCTTTCATTGCAGTGAACAAAGAAAGTGAATTTTAGAGAAGCTCGGATTAAGAATTTTTTTTTACTGTCCAAAACATTATTTGCCCATTGCACTTTGATTGTGATTTAGACTTATGGTGGGCATCATGCACGCTGTGGTATATCTATTTTAAATGAGTTGATTAAATTGGATTGAAATTGGACCACGAGCGCTTTAATAAGACAGAATGGAAGTAGGTACTACGTACCAGGGCGCACTCACAAACAGCTCTCTCAAATCTATTTATCTTAATATGCATTTTCAAATGTGTTTGATTTCCACAGATCGTGGCTTTGATTGCCTGTAATAAATAATAGCCTACAGATAACTAAATCGTATTATATAAACGAAATAATGGTGCGAATTCACGAATGAATAATTTAATTAATTTTCAGACTCTTTCATCTTGACAAATGAAAATGCTGCAGTGCTTCTCGATCCCGACATTCCAGATGACAAGAATATTATCAGAGCATTTCCACTTAATAACTTCAGCATGGCTTATGGTTTTCCCATCGAGGATCCGGCCACGGGTTCCGCTGAGGGATACGTCGGTGAGGACCACGAGTTCTATGGAGTCCTTCATTTGGGTATGGATCGTTCTGTTCATAGTAATTTGAATTAAAATGTGTGATTATTTTGTTTTCAATCAATACCAAAGTTTTTTTTATTGCCTTTATAGGGAGGACGAGCATACGACCCACTTGATGGTCAGTGGTTGTTGTTGCTCGTGGACCTCTAAAATGCCAGGAGTATAGCCAAGACGCTGTCTACTAGTATATATCTAGTAGGAGGTACTTTCCTACTAGATAAATATACTAACGTATTAATAGCATGAGGCTTAGAGTAAGCTCAATTGATTGATTGATTCGTAGTTCAGTACCGTATTCCAAAGGAACTCACAGAATGGTCGAAAACTCTGCTCTTCCTTGTTTTCCGGACTATTAAGGAGGTATCGAATATAAGGAAATAATATTTACGGTACAGTTATCATTCTCTATTATTGTTCTAATACTCCTCTCGTGGGCTTGCCGGAAGAGGCTTCGAAAAGAGATAGGCGATGCCTTGTTTTTATTATTAGTCCATTGGGTTGTTTGTTGTCTTTGTAAATAAATAAATAAACTTTAGGTAATAAGACCCTCCACGCTGATCCATATGGCGCAGATGACGTTTCTAAAGCGTTTGGTGCGTTTGAGAACGACAGTATGCCAGCCCCCAGGATCCGACGTTACTCACAGGTGATGAACAGGTGAATATTTATACTCCGTAGTTTTATACTCCGTAGCTTTCTAGTTGTTTTCGAACGAAAACAGGAGTTTGAAATAAAATCGTGTGTAAAAAGTTTTGTTATGATTTTTTTCTTTTTTGTAATAAAAAAAAAAGTTTTTTAAAAGCAATGTCATTGTTTGTCGTATGTTAATTTTTTCTTAAATAGATTTGAGAACTCGGAAGACACTCAGACAGTTTATTGTTAAGTTAAATTTGCCGTTTAAGGTTATATGCAAATAAATATTTAGGTGTTGAAAATGGACGAAAGCAATATTTTTGAGTTTAAAGGCATTTGGAAAGATTTATATACAACAAGCGACTGTCGATTAATATACATAGTCAGGTCATAAATTCTGTCACATGTTTAATGTAAAATAATTGAAACAAGTTAATTCATTATGTAACCATTAATATACCAAAATGAACTTAACAAAACATAGATTCTTATGACACTAAAGTTTATTCAAAATGACCTCCGTGATTTTGAATACAGGCCTTCAATCTGCGCGGCCAGTCGTCTATCGCAGCACGAACAAGGTCCATGTCAATATCGGCGGCTGCCTTAATCAAAGATGTTTTGAGTGACTCCAAATTGGGATGAGGCTTTGAGCACGCCTTTTCCTCCCAAGTGTTGCCATATCTTGTAATCTAACGGATTCAAATCTGGACTGGAGGAGGGCCAGTCTTCGTGCCGGATGAAGTCGATTTCACGCGCCGCCAGCCAGTCTTGTGTGCTCTTCGCTCTATGAGCTGGCGCCGAATCTTGTTGGAATACCCAGTGCCTGTTATTGAACATGGTATGAGAAACAGGTACCACAAGGTTCGTCAGGACTGTATTTTGATACACAACTGCATTCGTTTTTACACCTTTCTCACAAAAATGTACCTCTGTTAAGCCCCAATAAGAAACTCCCAACCATACCATGAGCGAGGATGGAAAATGACCTCGTTGGACACGCGGAATACGGTTGCTCGCTTCTTCACTACTGTGTGCGTACACCTTATCATTTTGTTTGTTGTAGCTCTCTTCTACGGTAAAAATTTTTTCATCCGAAAAAAGAATTTCCCGATATTTTTTTCCCGCGTACCGCTTCAACAAAGCGCGGCATCTCTTCAGTCTCAGGTCCATTAGACGAGCATTCAAACGATGTCCTGTTTTTCTTCGATATGCCCGAAGCCCTAAGTCTTCATTTAACACCCTTTTCACCGTGGTTCTGCTTAACCCCATCTGAAGGGCCAACAGTTTCTGCTTACGTTTGGGATTTCTTTGAATTCGCGCCTTCACAGCTTTTATCACTGCTGGAGTCCTAACAGACCGAGGGCGACCACTTCTTGACCTGTCATCTACACTAGAGTCTTCATTGTATCGTTTGATGGTACGATAAACGAATCTTTTGGTTATATTCAAATTTTTCAGTATGTTAAAAATTTGAATTGGCGCGTAACCGCAACGATGCAACGCAATAATTGCAACACGGTCTTCTTTAAGCGTCCACTCCATATTTAAAAATGAGTAAAATTCTAAATGTATACTATTTTTATTTTCATGAACAATTCGAAATTCGAATTCAATAAACTTTTTTGTGGCCAGCATTCTAAAAGAAAAGTTTTTACTGTGTGACAATACTTATGACCTGACTAGGTATATATCTCTATATATAAAAATGAATTGCTGTTCGTTAGTCTCGCTAAAACTCGAGAACGGCTGGACCGATTTGGCTAATTTTGGTCTTGATTTATTTGTGGAATGGACTTCGAATGGGAACGTTTAAAGGGTAGATAAATATGAAAATGCTCGGAATTAAATAAAAATAACAATTTTGTTTTTTCTCTGATGTGTCCCCGGCGGACGGATTCCTTTTGTTTGTTTTAAGTTTATTTTATACCAAAGTTTAGGTCTTTTATTTATCGATTGAGGCACTACGAAGTCTGCTGGGTCAGCTAGCTATGAATATTTTTGAAATATTATCATTATCACATAATAATTAAAATAATTATATTATTTTATTTTTGTAATTTAATTTAAAGTTTTAAGTACAAATCTTCAGTTTGTAATCTGCGGAGAATGCGCAAAATAAGAGATATCTTTTTTTTTCGGAGTGTTCCATACGTATATTTTGCTTATTATGACCGGTTCGAAATTATTAGTGCTACTTTTACTCTATATTTTCCCTTTTATTATTTTCAGTTTTTCCGTTTCGAATGTCTTCCAGTCTTTGTGGACGACCAAGGCGTAACTTAAATTCCCTTTTTTTTCTAGATGGATATGAATCTCTTTCCGTATTTTCCATTTAAAATAGAGGAGCACAAGCGTTCTCCGGGCATCGCTACTGCCAGAATCTGCGATTTACTGCTATTGGCCGATATAGAGTATTTCGATAAGGACGCGAACTCAAGTCTTCGGCATGCCGTGATGAAAATGATGCACGCCATAGCTCAGGCCGATATTATATTCAGAAATGCTGATTTTGATGAAGACGGAATGCCTGATAATATAGGTGCGACAGAAAAAATTATAATAAAATATTTTAAATTAGCGACCCGCCCTCGCTTCGCTTTGGAAACTGTAATTTATTATTGATTTCTCCACTATTTAATGGATGTTATTATACATATAAACCTTCCTCTTCAATCACTCTATCTATTTAAAAAACTACATCAAAATCCGTTGCGTAGTTTTAAAGATTTAAGCATACATAGGGATATAGAGACAGTTAAAGCGACTTTGTTTTATACTGTGTAGTGCTGGTATTCATCTTGGGCAAGACGTGGGAGGAGGTAGAACAGAGTGCCCAAGATGGATTGAAATGGAAGAATTTGATTCGAGCCCTACACCCCAGCAGAGGGTAATAGGAAAGAAAGAAAAAGAAGAAGATACACCTTGATACAAATCCTCACGCGTTCTCTCTAATAACATAGAGTAATAAACTTTTAATTTACGTAATTATTGGTTGTAGGTACTACCATCCTCATTGTTTCTACCGCTAAATAGATATGTACATAACTATACTTGAGATCTTAGAACTTTTATCTCCCAAGGTGGGTGGCGCATTTACGTTGTCTATGGGTTCCAGTAACCACTTAACACCAGGTGGACTGTGAGCTCGTCCACCTATCTAAGTAATAAAAAAAAAGTGTTCTCGATTTGAAGTCGTGTTGTTTTCGTCTGAGGGTAGTGACCTCTATCCGAGACTTTTGGCAACACGATATTATGCTATCCTGTTTTGATCTACTCAAAGAGCACCGTGGACCGTGGATTCAAGTGTGGTGCTGATCTGGTCAGACCAACGCATTGGTTACACCAATTGAAGGGTTAATAACAGTATCACGTTTTAATGACACATTTATTCATAAATTTTCTGACGGCTTCGACATTAAGGGCTCGCTTGAGAAGTTCTGTCTGTTAGGGGAACATTTTTTTTTATTGCTCGTTGGGTGGACGAGCTCACAGCCCACCTGGTGTTAAGTGGTTACTGGAGCCCATAGACATTTATGACGTAAATGCGCCACCCGCCTTGTGATATAAGGTCTAAGGACTCAAGTATAGTTACAACGGCTGCCGCACCCTTCAAACCGAAACGCATTACGGCTTCACGGCAGAAATAGGCGGGTTGGTGGTACCTACCCGCGCGGACTCAAGGTCCTACCACCAGTAAAAGTATTTAATGTTTGCTTCAGGTTTTTCGGTTAAGTACATCTTAGTGCTGACTTCGAACGAGACAAACATGCGCGTGTTCGGTGATCTGAGGACCGGACCAGCGGTGGACGGTCGCGTATACCTGACGCGATTCGCACGACTACGCCGGCTGTCCGAAGTGTGCCTTGGTGTCGCCTTCTCGGGGTACACGTTCCAGAACAAAACACTTGGATTGAGGTAAGGCTCTCTGGATTATCATTAATAGAAACGGTAAGTGTAAGACGGTTCTATTTGAGGGAACTGGGTTCTGGAGCTAAGGGGCGATTTTTAAACACAGAACCTAATTATTTTTTTAAATATTTTAGCCTATGTCGCTCGGGAATAATGTAGCTTGCAAACGGTGAAAGAATTTTTAAATCGGTTCAGTGGTTTCGGAGCCTATTCAATATAAACAAACAAACAAATCTTTCCTCTTTATAATATTAGTATAGATAGTATAGTTATGTAATATAATATGAATATAATTTATCATGTAGCTTCACATCGCTCGGAGGTGGCATGGGCGGTGCCGCAGGGGGTCTATGCGACAGACGCGCGTATGGTCGGTCCTTCAACACGCTCGCTATATCGCACTGCACCGAAGAGTCTGGACGCATTCCTGAACGAATTGTAGCTTTGACGCTGGCTCATGAGATGGGTGAGGGAGGACGTGTACAGATAGTATTAGAGGGTTGTTAGAAAACTGGCACTAACAATTAAGTCAAAAGAAGATTTAACAAATCGTAAGAAGTACCACAAGAATCACCACGTCGAAGGAACCGCCGCTGCTATATATATTTTGATTGTTGTCATAGATGAATAAGTTCTCGGCTCATCTGCTGTTAATCGGTTATAGCAAGCCGTAGACCGATAGAATGTGGCCTCTAACTTGGAAGACATAATAGGGTCGTAGTTACAATTGTATTGTATAAATGCTGCACGACTGTTCAAACTGGAATGCATGATTCGCGGCAATAATAAACAGGATAGTGGTAGAAACTCATGCGGACATACAATACGGATTATCATCAGAAAACTGCTACATTTTTAAAAAACTTTCGATCACATCTCTTGAATTGTGTTAAATAAGTTTATTTATTTATTATTCTTGCATATTTTAATAGTCGTTGTCTGGGTTGCACTTACTTTTTTTTTTCTTAGATGGGTGGACGAGCTCACAGCCCACCTGGTGTTACGAGGTTACTGGATCCCATAGACATCTACAACGTAAATGCGCCACCCACCTTGAGATATAAGTTCTAAGGTCTCAGTATAGTTACAACGGCTGCCCCACCCTTCAAACCGAAACGCATTACTGCTTCACGGCAGAAATAGGCTGGGTGGTGGTACCCACCCGCGCGGACTCACAAGAGGTCCTACCACCACTCTCTCGCTTGTGTAATGCCAATATGCTTTCCCTCCTTGTTAATAAAATTGACGGGAAGGCTTTAAGGTCCGTTTATTATACTGCTTAACAACTAAGCCAATGTTTGCATTGCACGCAATGTAATACAAACAATAAAAACACATCTTGTGCGATTAGGAATTTCGCGTGCGGAGCTTTTTTCGCCATAGAATGCGGCTTCGATAAAACTTTTAAAACGATAATTGTTTATACCTAGTTTAATAAGTAATTATTATTTTCTATTCACAATAGTGAAGAAGTATGTTGATTTATATTATGTTATGATGAATTTGTTGTTTATTTTTATGACAATAAGGCGTGTAGTTGTTTTGCGTTGGCAAATGGCCTCTCATGTGGTATTAGTCAATTGAAGTAATGCGCGTTCAACGTCCAGGCCATAGTTTCGGCGCACATCACGACGACAACTTCCCGAATCCAGAATGCCGTGGTTACCTCATGGGCTCGCAGTCGACGGCCGGTGACGACGGAAGAAACTTTGAATTCTCCCTCTGCAGTAAACGACTCATAGCGTCTACTTTAAGTGGAATGAGTTATTGCTTGGTAGAGGAAGATAGGCCGTTTTGTGGTAATGGTAAGTGAGCGTGTCTTTCTTCAAACGAGGCTCGCGGAGAGTACTTAGCGGTAGGCAGTGACTTCCCTGTACGGCTGAGATTGCGGACATTGCAATTTGACAACAGATAGCTTTACTTGTACCGACATAACAGTACATAACGTGGAATCCATCATGAATCATGCGAGGACAAATTTGGCGGGATATTCGAAGCTTATTGTAGACAGACTATTTACATCGTTAACGGACATAACGCAAAATACTATAGGTCTTGTCTCAAAGCAATCCCTTTCAAGAAACCGACAAAATGCATAAATATGTCTAAAGCTGGTGGTCGTAATGTGAGCCCGCACTAGGGTACAACTATTCTTGGGTTGTTGACCGCGAAATTCCCCTTACTTTGCCCGAGTGTGAATTGGGCGTCGGACGTGAGTGCAGATGAGTCGTTTAGAGGGTGGGCATCTAAGAGCTTTGGCCGCCGAGTACTACATACCTCGCGCATCACCTAACAGATACCAAAAAAGGTACCAAAAATATCTACAGACTATCAAGTCCCACATACCCAGAACGCCCCCTAGACACGAACACCCCGTTCGGTTCAATTGCCCGATCAGAAAAAACTGCTAAACAGTAACGCATTTCGATTTGAACCACGGAACGGACCTGTTTCTCACGGTTAGTGACGGCTCACAAGTCGTGATGTTTATGGACTCTAGTAGTTACTTGACAGTCGTGAGATCGTACGCCCCGTGCAATATAGATTAAATAAAAACCTTAAAGGGTTTTAATGTTCTATCAGGCATAGTCGAAGACGGAGAAGCTTGCGACTGCGGTCTACCATCTCGGTGTAGTCTGAAAGACCCGTGCTGCACGTCAAGGGCAGGAGCCGCTCTAGTATACAATGAAGGGTCTGTTGTTTTAGTTCTTTAAATTCTGTGTATTAGTTTGACGGAAATCTGATGTCCTCTTGACGGATCGGATTTCCGTGAGATATGAGAGAGAGAGAGACAGACAGAGAGAGACAGAGAGAGAGAGAGAGAGAGAGAGAGAGAGAGAGAGAGACAGAGAGAGAGAAAGAGTGAGAGAGAGGAGTGATTGTTGAAATGACGGCTGATAGAAGAGAATGGAATAGAAAAATTCGGTGTGACGACCCCACCTAGTGGGATAAGGTGGAGAGAAAGAAGGATCAGATTTCCGTGCTGACATATGCAGTTATTACGTAGAATGGGAATCGATTTTTATTTTGCGACACCATGAAATATAATCGAAGGGAACGAACCAAATATGTTTAGCAAATGATTTTTTTTATGAATGAGCAAAACTTACGTTAAAAATCTTTTCAGAACGAATTTTTAAAATTAATAACGATTAAATTATCTTTTAATTTAAAGACTTTTTTCACGCGTCTTAATATTTCTGATTGAAATTATAGAAAAAATATGGATAATATATGCTTACCTCTGGGAAAATATGAACGGGTGACTAACATCGCCCTGCCTGTTTCTGTCGTGAAGCAGTACCGTACATGTGAGTTCTCACAAAACTCCCTACCTCCAGTAGTGGTAGTATAGTAGTATAAAATAATGAATGAAATTCCTTAGTGTTCTACACAAGGAAGGGTGTTCTGTAGCGCCCACTGCATCATGTCATCCGTCGCAGGGTTTGTGTTGCACGCCGAAATGTGAATACGCAGACCTAACTGCTAGTGGGATTGTTAGTATGACTTAATACGTCTTATGATATGCTATGCTATATATTTTTTTTATTGCCGTTGTATGCAGACGAGCATACGGCCCACCTGATGGTGAGTGGTTACCGTCGCATGGGCACTTCAGCAATGCCAGGGGCAGAGCCAAGCCGCTGCCTACCGCTTAATACTCTCCACAAGCCTCGTTTGAAGAAGGACATGTCATAGCGCTCGAGAAACACCGTGGAGGGGAGCTCATTCCATAGTCGAATGGTACGTGGCAAAAAAGACCTCTGGAAACGCACTGTGGATGACCGCAGTGGCTCCAGATAGTATGATGAACTCTACTCCGGTGGCGGGCGGTGCGATGGTAAAAACGAGATGCCGGTATCATTTTGAACAATTCCTCAAAACACTAATGACGTTTCAAAATAAACTAGCGTAAATACAAATCAAAAAGGTATATCCGTCCGGTGCATTCGTGTTGAGCGATGCACCGGTGTTCGAACCCTAGGCGGGTACCAATTTTTCTAATGAAATACGTACCCTAACAAATGTTCACGATTGACTTCCACGGTGAAGGAATAGCATCGTGTAATAAAAATCAAACCCGCAAAATTATAATTTGCGTAATTACTGGTGGTAGAACCTCTTGTGAGTCCGCACGTACTTACCCGTACCACCACCCTGCCTATTTCTGCCGTGAAGCAGTAATGCGTTTTTGAAGGGGAAAGGGGCAGCCGCTGTAACTATACTGAGAGCTTAGAACTTATATCTCAAGGTGAGTGGCGCATTTATGTTATAGATGTCTATGGGCACCAGTAACCACTTAACACCAGGTGGGCTGTGAGATCGTCCACCCATCTAAGCAATAAAAAAAGATATGAAAAACCTGCTAAGTGAGATGCTCGGTGGAAGGTATCCCCCTACGTAGTTGTCATTGTAAGTTGGTGACCTGCTATGGAATAGTCTCAATCATAATTTCTGTTTTGGAGGGTGCAATATCCACTTTTGGGAAATATTTGGTGTCTATAGACTTCATTGGCTAGGGAGGATAAGCTTTGTTGGTGTTGAGAGCAGAATTAGGTAGGGTACCTGTTTCTAATCCGAGCGTAAGTCATATGATATCTATGGGCTTCAATACGTGTTTATCTGTGTGCTTAGTGCGAGTTTCTTAACGTTCTCGATAGCGTAAAAGTTAAGCCAATTTTGTATGCAGTTGGAACAGCGCCCCTAGCGGCAAACGTACGCAATCGATCCCGTTCCATACAAATATGAGCTAACTTTTGCGCTATCGAGAGCGTTAAAAAACTCTCACTAGGCACACAGCTATCAGTAAGCTATGGAATGGTTGAGCTCCGGACTTAATTGGTTTCGAAACCAATCATGAATTTCTATTGAAAGCTTTAATGGTTGTCTTTGATATTTGAGTCGACTATTATCAAAGCCGGCAATCTGGACCTTTTGGACAATGATTGGTAAATCAGAAAAACGAATTATTGACTTTGTATTCCATTGGCAGTCACAAAACTCTTCGGAACGACATCTTAGATAAATAACAGGTTAACTATTAACCTTTATTTAATGCAGGTTTTGAACCGTATTCTTTGAAGGAGACGATTATATTCAAATCAATCTGTATTGACATATCAATAAAGTTTTTTTGTCCAAATGCACAGATTGCCATCTTTGATAATAGACGACTCATTTGTGTATATATGTTTTTTTTTCATCCATATTTTTACAGAACTGCAAAACTCTAGACCAAGAGTGTGCATGTGCGAACGTAACGACGAATTGTCGTTGTGGTCTAGGAGGCAGATGCCTCTCGGACGGAACATGCCACGCTTCAGAATGCGCTCTGTTGGGCTTGAAGGAGTGTCAGTGCTCGCCGAAAGGGATGGTAAAATAAATTTTGAATATGTTTTGTTTAATTTTAACCTATACTAATGTTATAAAGCTGAAGAGTTTGTTTGGTTGAATGCGCTAATCTCAGGAACTACTATTCCAAATTTTCAGTTTTTTTTTATTGGCCTTTTTTATTGGCCTAGGCAGACGAGCACACGGCCCACCTGATGGTGAATGGTTACCGTCGCCCATGGACATCATCAATGCTAGGGGCAGAGCCAAGCCGCTGCCTACAATGTCCCAAGTTTTCAGTGTTAAATAGCCCATTTATTGAAGAAGGCTATAGGTATAGGCTATATAATATCACGCTAAGACCAATACATGGTAGATGGCAAACGTCCCAGAGGACGCAGTCCTACGAGATGGTCGGACCAAATACGATCTTACTTCCACAATGCCCTTCACAAAGCTAAGGATCGTAGAAGATGGAGGGAAATCGTACGGGAGAAACTGATGCAACGGGGGAGTCACGACCCTCAGTAATGAGGAAAACGACGCGAGGAGGAGGGAAGATCAATACAAACGGAGCACCAATAAAGAACGTTTCAAAACCGGGTTTTTTTTCTTTCCGCTGCATGCGCTGAGGAAACGGTTAAAGTTTCGCTAAAATAATGTAAAACAGAACTGTTCCCCTTTAAAAGTTCTAAAAGAAATCCGCGACAGCATATGTCTATATTTTAAGGTTGGCTCACTATAACCTTTCTTGTGCTAATCAAATTTGTTCTAAAATAAAGCATTATTTGTGAAGGTGTTTTTATAATGATGATATTAATCCTTATCCAAATACATACGTTATCAATTGTAAGTATTTAATTTAAAAGAAATTTGCCTTTTACATAATTTCGCACACATCGCAGTTTTAAAATAACATCGCAGAAAACTAATGATCAAGCGCGTAATAATAATTTACAAGGCGCCGGCGTTTAACTGTTTCACGCGGGCGAAATCGCGGGCAAAAGTTAGTGTACCTATGTATTCAATTATCACAATCCTTCACTATGAGTACCGTTTGGCTAATTTTATGATTGAATGTCTTATATTGAAATAAACTATACAAAATGGACTAAGTTTTGTCATTGAAAAAATATATATAACTATATATATATAAAAATGAATTGCTGTTCGTTAGTCTCGCTAAAACTCGAGAACGGCTGGACCGATTTGGCTAATTTTGGTCTTGAATTATTTGTGGAAGTCCAGAGAAGATTTAAAAGATAGATAAATATGAAAATGCTCGGAATTAAATAAAAATAACAATTTTGTTTTCCCTTTGATGTGTCCCCCGTCGGACGGATTCCTTTTGTTTGTTTTAAGTTTATTTTATACAAAAGTTTAGCTCTTTTATTTATCGATTGAGGCACTACGAAGTCTGCCGGATCAGCTAGTTTAAAAATGAAAAGTACTTGATTATCTTTCAAATTTTTTTTGGTAATACAACTATTCAGCAACTAATTGAAAAATATAATTGTTTGGAAAAATTTTACCGTTTTGTCTTTGCCAATTCTTAAATCGATTTCATTTTTTACAGGGCGGAACGGTATACAAAAGTAAGATGTGCGGTGTATGCTGCAAATTACCAAGAAAAGGAGACAGACCAGAGAAATGCATTGGAGCGGAGCTAGCAGCACTAGAGACGCTGACCGAAACGTCTGGTTTGATTGAGGACTGGCCTCATGATGATTACATAGGACGTATGAAGCAACTTGTAACTTAGGTTGACCAGAATAATGTTGGGTTCTCGTTTTAATATTAACCAGCCGGCTTAGATTACGACGGCCTTTGTAAACGGTGTGCTTAGTTACGTTTTTTAACGTTCTCGATAGCGTAAAAGTTAACTTAAATTTGTATGGAATTGGAACAACTTCCCTACGTTTGCCGCCAGGGGCGCTGTTTCAACTGCATACTTGAGTTAACTTTTACGCGATCGAGAAGTTAGAAAACTCGCACTAAGCACACGGTTCTATGAGTCTTTTAACGCTTGTCTTTTTTTTTATTGCTTTGATGGTTGGACGATCTCACAGCCCACCTGGTGTTAAGTGGTTACTGGAGCCCATAGACATCCACAACGTAAATGCGCCACCTTGAGATACAAGTTCTAAGGTCTCAAATATAGTTATAACGGCCGCCCCGTCCTTCAAACCGAAACGCATTACTGCTTCACGGCAGAAATAGGCAGGGTGGTGGTACCTACCCGCGCGGACTCACAAGAGGTCCTAACACCAGTAAAAAAAGCGACATTTACAATTTGGGGGAGCTCGTCTGGTAAACAAAATGGTACACATTGTTACCAGAGCCCGCATAAGGACTACATATTATTGCAAGAAAAAATACAATATAATTCTTGATGAGGCCACATTAGCAAATTACACATTGATATAAACGCTATAAGCGGAGCGCCTATATGTGACGAGTCTGTGTGTTATGAATATTGACATTGTTTGAATATTGTGCTAAATATAGTAAATTTTCCTGTGAAAAGATATTTACAGCCTTGGAGCAGCGAACTTGCAGTTGCAACAACGCCCCTATTGGCAAACGTTCCAACTCCATACAAATTTGAGTTAGCTTTTACGCTACACTTTGAGAAGGCGGCATTATATGAGAACCTTCTTGTCGTGGCCGCTGGAAACTACATACCCGATCCTGTTGACCGAATGGTAAACAGTCGACGTCGCCCAAAGCACATCATTACGGATCCTCCCGATCCATTAACGGTGCTTTTAGCTAACACAAGCACCGGTCATCGACCTAGTCGAACCCGTCACTTGCGATGAAGGGCTCGACGATCGAATTAAACCGTAGACACGGCCAACGTATTTTCTCGCCGTATCTTCTCAGTGGGTCGCGTTTCCGTACCTGCGCTAGATTCCGCGAAGCACTGCTCTTGCTAGGGTCAATGCTAGCATCACTCCGGTTTGAGCCCCGTGAGCTGACTTACATGTTAGGGTGAAGCTGAAATAGCCTCTCAAGGCTATCAGCATAGGTAGGAAAATTAATTTTTTTACGCTATCGAGAACGTTCCAAAACTCTCACTAAGCGCACTGAAGACTTAATTCTCAACGCGTGTGAGTTACGCAATGGTTTTTTTAACTGTTTTTTTTTTAATTCAGCAAATGTCACAATAAGACTATGCCACAAAGGTGCGTGCACTAAGAGAGAATTACGCGCTTGGCCGACCGGCAGTGTTTGCGTCAGCCTCAATGAGGTGGGTGTCTGTTCGCCGCGTGGTGTCTGCAAGAAGAGTTACTTGTTCCCGAGATCTAACATATATCCGGACGTTATGGTTAGTAAGAAATAATGTTTTTCATAGTAAAAATTTAGGTCTTCATATCCGAAAGAGTGTATGAAGGTAAATGGATCGATGTTAGTTTATAAATTAGGTCATAATTAATTTATTGTTTTGTTAAATTTTTTTTTATGATTGAAAGATTACTGGTGGCCCTGAGGCCTTTCCAGTTTCACCAGGACAGGTGGGCGAGCAAAGGCTCAGCCAGGAGGCGTGGGATTTGCTAACAGTTGCCCGAGCGCCTCCGAAGGAGACCTAACAACTCAAGAGCAATTGCTTCGCGAATGTATCTACTACCGGATCGGAATCGCGACCCGCTGAGCAGATCCGGCGAGAAACTCAGCGGGCTGATGCATGGGTTAGGTTGCACGTCGACCTCTTTGTCGAGTTCGACGTGTAGTACCAACTAATATGTGTTATAAGTGATTTTTGGTTGTATCTGTCATGTCTAAGACGCCCCGTCATCATGTGGTACTGGTATTATGTGCCCAAAATAAGACCAATGCTCTTCCTGTTGGGTGTCCTTAAGAAATGAACCGGAGTATGGACAGTAGTATTCTTTGAGTGCTATACGACACAATAGGCATAGATTAGATAAGGCGCATAGTAAGTTAAACAATAGAGGATTCGACCTCATTTCGTGAACTTGTGGTTTCTGTGAGCACCGGTGAGCAAGCCGAACCAGGTTGGCGATGAGTTCGAAGCATCCATGTATTTTAAAAAAAGTCAGAATAAAATATCCACAATAACTTTTGGACATTACGTATTAAGGTCTATATTTTGAGCCTCCACGGGTAGGTACACTAAAGTCACGTATTTCTGACGTAAAACAGTTTTGCCTTCCACTTTAAAGGGTGGGGCTGTTATGTCCTTATAATACAATCTGGATTACAATCAAGCGAATCACATAGGGTGCCTTGTGAGTCCGCACGAGTAGGTACCACCACCCTGCCTATTTCTGCCGTGAAGCAGTAATGCGTTTCGGTTTGAAGCGTGAGGCAGTCGTNGGTACACTAAAGTCACGTATTTCTGACGTAAAACAGTTTTGCCTTCCACTTTAAAGGGTGGGGCTGTTATGTCCTTATAATACAATCTGGATTACAATCAAGCGAATCACATAGGGTGCCTTGTGAGTCCGCACGAGTAGGTACCACCACCCTGCCTATTTCTGCCGTGAAGCAGTAATGCGTTTCGGTTTGAAGCGTGAGGCAGTCGTTGTACTGTGAAAATGGGACTCAGAACTCATGTCTTAAGGTGAGCGGCGGTATGTCGTTGTAGATGTCTATGCGATTCGGTAACCACTTAACAACAGGGAAATCCACGCACTTAAGCTATAAACCCCCCCCCCCCCCCTTAAAATTGTTAAGATACTTGGGACACACTGCAATACACATAGGGTATATTATGTAAATGCGTAAAAATGCATAGATTACTGTTCTGTATTTTTTTTATTTGATTTTAAAATGTTAAGATTTCTTATGTTTATATTTTTTTGTTATATACCTTCTAGAACATTCAGCTGATGGAAAATTCGACTTCCAGAGCGTTCATCAAATGGATATATAAATTATTATTAGTCGTATTTTGTTATTTGCAAATAAAGGAATAAAACACTGTAGTTGACAATTATTTTATTAAAATGTTTTTTTTTTTCTACTTTTAATTAGTACAAAAGATGGAAGCAAACGGTTAGGTAAATACAAAATGACTAGAATACCTACTAGCTTTCACATTTTTTTTTATTTATTCCATAAGTTTCCCCCTCTCTTCTTAGTGATAATAATGAATAAAAATTGCACGTACATTACGATTTATAATTATATTACTTATTGATAAATCTGACTATTATGGTATTCATTTAGTATATTATTATAGTAAATAACTACACACTATACTGTACGATTAAAAAAGTATCAATAGTATATTGTGCACCAGGGGAGAAAAGTAGGACATTTCCTCCCGCGTGTAAAATTGCAAACACGCGCGATGAGATGTCCTACTTTATTCCCGCGGTGGACATACTAATTTTTCTTCTACCAGGCCGAAAGTTCGTGGAGTACCGAGCCGGGGTACAGGGGCGAAGCCCTGGCCTGGGTAGGGGGCGGAGCCCCCCATACTCATAAAAACAATTTAACTGTTTTTTAATTTTTAAATAAACTACTACTAATTGAATAAGAACTGTCTGATGAACTCATCTTTGTTTAATACTTCACTATTAAGTTTTATTGCCATTTGTTTATTTCACTTTTACACTAAACACAATATTGCAAATTACCCGAGCACACCAATGGCGGAGAATTTTAGATGCGTGAGGGCAGACATTTGTCAGTATAGTAAGCGGCACGTAAGTTGGCAAGGTTTTGGTGTAGTGGGGGTAATGTCGCGCATAGTGTACATTGCAACAAAAAATGGTCACTTTTATTGCCCGCATATAATTTAATTTAATTTAATTTAATTTTTTACTTCCCATAATTTGTTTTTAAGCCTGTGTGTTTAGAAGAAAGTTAAAGAAAAGAGAGGAATTCGTGAAGTGTATTAGGTGTTATAAATAAAATACAATTAAAAGTTAAGAAGTTTATTTAAAAAAATATACTTCATATTAAAAATTATGTGTCGCCATCATCACTATCATTTTCTAATAGTGCTACCCCTTGGATTAAATTTATGGTAGCACCTGAGCTGGTGGAAGGAGTTGGCTCCTCATCGTTGACATAACGAAAAGTCGCTGTCGTCACTGGCGTAAATAATAAAACGCTCAGTGATTGAATCGACTATATGGTCATTGGTATTTGGTCCTGGCATTGCAAACAAATTTAAAAGAATAACACTCGTAACAAAAACTAAATTTAAAACAATAACAACTCGTAACAAAAACTCAATATAAACAAAGGGTTTCTACAATTTAGTAGGCGCATGTGTAATCAGGAGCGAACGGAACGCGGACGCGGTGCGGGAGGGGAGGGTCGACTGACTCACCAATCGCGCGCTCGGAACGGTGCTACGTCTTTCCCCGCGTCCCGCTTGACAACCAAAGAGACCTAAAAAACGACTTCTGCGCATCTGACGATTCTTGCCAAGTTACGTGCCGGGGACTATACCCAGGGAGGGAAAGTTACACTTTCTTCCCTGTACAGCGGGAGGAAACCGAACTTTCGGCGTAGGCAGGAGAAAAAATTAGGTTTTTTTTTTGTGTGGCTACGAATGTATTTTCATCTCGCTGCTCTGGCGGTAACCGTATCACGTGCCTATATATCACGACTGCCATTTAATAATTCTCACTTGTTACACTTTTTTTAATGACATTGCCACCGCACTATGATCTCATTTCGTTTCGAACATAGTTTCCGTACAGCATTACTATGTTCTGTTGTGATGACAAAACCATAGTTTTTCACGTTTACCGAAGAAAAAAAAAACTAATCAAAATGTTCAAAAAATCAAAACATTTGATTTCATGACTTTTGCTTCTTTTTTTTTGCATAGATGGGTGGACGATATCTCAGCTCACCTGGTCTTAAGTGGTTACTGGAGCCCATAGACATCCACAACGTAAATGCGCCACCCACCTTGAGATATAAGTTCTAAGTTCTCAAGTATAGTTACAACGGCTGCCCCACCCTTCAAACCGAAACGCATTACTGCTTCACGGCAGAAATAGGCAGGGCGGTGGTGCCTACCCGCGCGGACTCACAAGAGGTCCTACCACCAGTACCAATTATTGCTGCGGTATAATACAAAAAAAAAAATGTTTTTAATATGAAGTTGGTGGCTGAGATAAAAAAAAAAACAAGTTTAATACTTGGCGCACAATGTCTCCAGCATTTTGAAGTAGCAATATTTTACGTCGAACTCCATGTCGTACCAGTAGTTGACCGCGATGCAGCCGTGGCTCTGCCTGACGTGGTGGAACCAGAGGCTGGGCAAGTACAAGGAGTCGCCCTTGTACAGCCGGACTTTGAACATATGGGCTTTTTTGAACTCGGGATATTGGTCGTAGTCCGGGTCCATCGGATCTGTAACGTTATGTAATAATATAATAAAGCCTTTTATTTGCCATCACCTAAGTATTACATATATATAAATATTCTTCAAATTATTATTATTATTCTATTATTAAATTATATATATACATATTTATTATATTATTTTATATTATATATTATTAAATATTTTTGTATTTTGATCTATTTACAATTTTTTATTTTATTTTAGACTTTTTTCTTTATTGTTGTTTGTTTGATTGGCCGACATCAAACTTTTTCCTCGATAGGAAAACCCCTATTAGTTTTCAAAAACTAAGCTAAATAACATTTTTCTCCTACCTACGCCGAAAGTTCGTACTATTTTTTATGTCCTGATAAGAGAATTCTTAGAATTTTTTCAAATGTTGTCTTAGTTTTGCACAATTTTTGAATTGTGATGAGTCGCACTAACTTTTGTAATAACATGCCATAGTATATTTCATACATTTTTTTTACATAGTAGCATGTCAAAGTTAATTAAAAGTAAAAATATTCTAAAATTTCAAGAAAAAAGATTGGTTATTTTATTATTTATTATATTTTTTATTATTATTATTTTAAAAATTACCAATGTTTTGGTCCTATTTGGAACCGCAATTAATAGTTATGTTACTTAGGCAGCTAATACAAAAAAAATGTGTGTAAATACAAAAATACAAAAAAACGACAGTATCTAATCATAGGGTATAGGGTATTAAATTACAACATTTTTCACAAAAGTTAATTTAAAGAATTTTTTTTATCGTCGTGGCCTAAGGGATAAGACGTCCGGTGCATTCGTGTTGAGCGATGCACCGGTGTTCGAATCTCAGGCGGGTACCAATTTTTCTAATGAAATACGTACTCAACAAGTGTTCACGATTGACTTCCACGGTGAAGGAATAACATCGTGTAATAAAAATGAAACCCGTAAAATTATAATTTGCGTAATTACTGGTGGCAGGACCTCTTGTAAATATATATATAAGCCATTATAATTTAACTCTTTAGTTTTTAAAAAGGACTATTTTTTAGTGTCATGGAGTATTTTTTTTTTTATGGCTTATATTGGTGGATCAGCTCACAGCCCACTTGGTGTTAAGTGGTTACTGGAGTCCATAGACATCTACAACGTAAATGCGCCACCCACCTTGAGATATAAGTTCTAAGATCTCAGTATAGTTACAACAGCTGCCCTACCCTTCAGACCGAAACGCATTACTGCCTCACGACAGAAATAGGCAGGGCGGTAGTACCTACTCGCGCGGACTCACAAGAGGTCCTACCACCAGTAAGTATATATAAGTAAGTATATAGTAAGTACTTGTGTTGTTGTAACCACAGGCTACGCTGTACCGATATAGTTGTTTGTTCAGAATACTTACCAATACACACCCAAGGCAGGTCATAGTTCACACCGTCATTAAGAGGAACTATATCCCAATCAGAGCCGTTCCTTTTGAACTCTGCCTGTTTATACTTTTTGTACGGCACGAAAGGTAGGTCTGTCGGTGGAATCAATATGAAGTCTTTGTATCCATCTATCACGCAGTAAATATTCTCATACGGATCTTTGTGCACTGAAATATTGAAGTTAAATAATTTGATACAGAACTATAAACATTAAGTTGTTTTAGAGCCTTCAATTTTGTAACAGAGAGGGTGATCTTAGACAGTAATAGTCCATCTGTGTATTCTATTAATGATACTCAGGATATGGAACTTAAAATTCATTGACATGAATCAATAGTGAACACAGTTGTAATCATGTGCCCTGCTAGGACATGTATATTGAGCATACAATGTAATGTTGTAATGTAGAATTTAAATTTTAATGTACAAGTATTGTTTCATGGAATTGACAGTGAAGTTAGCCCCCTTGATACTATGAGTTGAATAGCTAAGGCATGGCATCTATAATGTGTTATATCCAGCACACCTACATAGTTAATTCAGAAGGAGATATTTCCATCGCCTGACGAATTGAGTCAATATGTCAATTTAGACATCAGTATCACTAGATCTTCTTGTCCTTTATCCCACAGAGTAGGGCTGTACAAAATAATTTCAAGCCCTATCTTGCTTACAATTTTCCAGTTACCTGCCTCACTAAGATGCTGCTTTTTTTATTGCTTAGATGGGTGGACGAGCTCACAGCCCACCTAGTGTTAAGTGATAACTGGAGCCCACAGTCATCTACAACGTAAATGCGCCACCCACCTTGAGATATAAGTTCTAAGATCTCAGTATAGTTACAATGGCTGCCCCACTCTTCAAACCGAAACGCATTACTGCTTCATGGCAGAAATAGGCAGGGTGGTGGTACCTACCCACGCGGACTTCTAAGACGTCCTACCACCAGTAAAAGATGTTGATTAGTGGCAGTATAAGTTTTAAATAAGTTGTAGATATTACCTACCATGGAGGAAGAATAGGAAGTCTTGGTTTGCTTATTGCATTACGATTATTATGACTATGTCAAGTAATACTAACTGGAAGTAACAGCTCTTTTATCGCCCATCCAAAAGTTGACAGCGTCAGGTCTCTTGTTGAATGCTTTAGTCGCAAACGGTATTTCACGATTTACATCAACCAGCAATTCAGAGAAATCTTCAGTCAAATTTGAATTTTGTTTTTGTATGTACGTAATGAAGTTTGACCTGAAAGACTTTTCATATAAACAACATCATTCAACTACATTGAAAGGAAGAGTAATTGCTTGCCCTTGTATTCCAACAAATTGCTCAGTAAGGTTAGTTAAGTTATGAGGTAATGTATGAGATTACTTTAGACAAATACACTTTATTTCAGTCTTTTCCACTAAATAAAGTTAGTATCATCTTTACAGATTACTGTATGTATCAATATACATATGTGTATGATATAGTTATAATAATAAAGATGTTAATGAGCTTGATTAAGCACATGAAACTAGTTTCCATTATACCTATGTCATCTTGACATCTGGAACAGATCTCCCACAGTATACTTATAATTAAATCATCTTTTTGGCAAGTTGTATATAGTATGTTCTCTGCAACTTAACATCTCAATGTGATTTTTGCTTATGTGAGAAACTGATCTATAAGCTCCATTTCAGTTCTTCTAAGAAATCCACTAGCTTATTTGTGTTGCCTTGTTGACCTTGATTATGAAAACTGTAGCCACACATGCACATTTATGATTACAGCATATATGATCGATCCATTGATATCATAACATATTTAACATATTTCTTATGCCCATGATAAGATACCTTGTTATTCTTGCCCTTATCTAACCGTGTGAAGTCGGAACTGCATGCCCAGGGTCTCATTGGTCACATGATCATCCCTCTACCGTTTATTTCCTACCAGTCATAAAATACCATCTTTTTTTATTGCTTAGATGGGTGGACAAGCTCATAGCGCACCTGGTGTTAAGTGGTTACTGGAGCCCATATACGTCTACAATGTAAATGTGCCACCTACTTTGAGATATAAGTTCTAAGGTCTCGAGCATAGTTACAACGGCTGCCCCACCCTTCAAACTAAAATGCATTACTGCTTCACTGCAGAAATAAGCAGGTTTGTGGTACCTACCCATACGGACTTACAAGAGGTCCTACCACCATCTTAAAATGCTTATTGAGCTTGTACTGCCAGATACTTAATTACAAGAAATAATGTTTTAGGGTTCTTAAGCAAAGTTTCTAAATAATATTATTTGATCAATAAAATACCTCTTATTTTCCAAAGTATCCAAAAACTCACTCATTGTCATTTCTTCCTCACACGGCATCACAAAATATTCAACTCCAGACTGACTTGTGATACCGTCTGCTAAGCCATTTGGTGTTATTGAAACTGTCAATTTTTTCTCTGGAATTATCTCTCTGAAAATTTTATAATTATGTTGTACTATTTAGTCTCTAGACAGGTTTTTCACCAATATTTCATTTTAACAATTTGTATCCTAAACAATGCCACAAGCCATTAAAATAATATGATTATTTAAATTTAGTGTGTTAGTTAAAGTGTGACAAATGTTTAAGTAATTGTCCATTTACGAATGAACCATAGTCTCTCTGATTTAAAATATGTTAGCGGACCTTGAAGTGGCATTTTTGATAAAATCCTTTAAATTAATTTGTTTGTAATGCAAATGTGAACTGGTTCAACAGTTGAACTACGGGTAACAAATGGAAATATTTAAATATTTACCTAAAATATTGAACATCCCATTTCGAAACTGCAGGCCAATCGGCGCACCCTCCTCTTATAATAAGGGGTAAATTCTTCGACACATAATCCCTATGAAACTCTAACGGCTCTATTAATGTCTTTTCAGCTATATGCGTGCCAAGATATAACTCTAAAGTAAAAAAAAAGAATTTAGTAAGAGCTACAATTTATATTTCGCGAAAATTTATGTGATATTGAACACAGTACCGAATGTTTCAGTGTTCAAAACGTTACAAGCCTTAGTAATACGATTCTCCATTGTAATTATAGGTAAATTGTTTAATTAAAAAGAGTTTTAAATTTTATTTTTGTAGCTAAACATTTTACATTTCAAAAACCTACGATACATAATTCTAAATTGACGTTTGACATTAAAAAATCGATGTTACGGACTTCAGCACAACAAATGGGCATACCAGACTAGGCTGTATAGGCTACGCTCTTTGCCTGCTTATTGGCGAATTTAAAAACAACAACAACAATAACGTTGTCGGCTTCCGGATTTTCATTTCATTTTATTATTATTATGAGGATATAATAATAACAAAATGTACGTAAGGACTTATTTCTAGCAACATTAACCACAATTAACTTATTCAATACTGTAAATAATGATGAAAGCGATTATTGATTTCGAAAAAAACAATTAACAACTTAATGTTAGCTGCAGAAAAAAACAGATTTCTCTTAAACCTGGGTGAGAATATAAAAATAGTTTTCTGAATATGAAACGATATTTCTTTGTCTATCAAAATAAGTTAAAACCATCATGACGCGAGAACTTTTTTAGGGGCCCAAACGCCCATAGAAAATGGGCATTGTCCTTTGCTGTCTTTCCCGGGATCGATCTCCTGCATCTGCATATTACATTACTAATGACTTTAACCGGCGTTACACTAGAAGAGCAAAACATAATTATTGTTTTAGACCGTAACGCTCTTGAACGTACGGACGCCACTAGTTGTGCAAAGTATGATATTTTTCAAATTCATCGTGAGTGAAACTATATTATTAGTTCACTGCATGATATAAGTTCATCCTTTAAAAACTAATAAATAAATGAAATCACTTCCCGATACAAAAAAAAAACAATATTTTATTTTAAAAAAACACAAACTAAATATATTTCATGGGCATAGGCTTCTTTAAGATTCCTTTTACTGGTGGACCATCAGATTTTGATGACGAAGGCTGTTTCGGCAAAGGAGGCGGTTCCATGTGTTGTAGGTTGGCATCGAAAGGCACTGGCGCAGGACGTGACCGCCAAAAAGCTCGTGGCATAAACGTGTAGGTCGAATCTATTGCCGTAACTAAAAATACGTTTAATTAAGTTAATAAAAACATTACTAACAGAAAAAAACTCGTGAGTTAGTAATCTAAAGCTACACCTTTATCAAAATGTTTTTTTTTTAAAGATTTTAAGACCTTTTAACTTTTAAGTCTGCCAGTATTTTAATGTTACAGAATATGTATTGATACGTTTTTTTAAATGCGTGTCAAGATAAACTTGAGAATATTTTATCAATATTTCTTCATTGTACTGTTTAGGTATACTGTACTACCATTGTTTGTGGACGGTTAAATCTATTTCTAAACAACGGGGTTCGATTCATAAGACCTGTCAACTTATCAAAGTTCCCATGATACCAAGAAAATGGAATTTCAAAACGAATTTTAACAAGACAATCTCATAATTTCTAGATCACAGGAATATTAAAAAACAGATTAACGGAAAAATGAGATTTATTACTTTGTGATATTAACAGATTTTTAAATGTGTTCATTTTTTTTTAATAATTTTAAAAGTATTCAAAGCTAGATAGATAATTTAAATTTTTTAATTTTGGTCTTGAAAAAAGTTATTTTAGGTATAAGTTGTCTACATTTCAGGTATAAGTAGAAGAAATTTTGGTATAATACTTCGAATACAGCACTAAGTATACAAAATTATATTATATTTTGTTTATATTATATTATATTATTACCTTTAGGCTTCTGATTCGAATACTCAGAAATAGACAGAGCACTTTGCGCCCTTGGTCCCGGAAGCATGTTCAAGTCGAAGAACTGATCCACGCCCTCCTTACTCATGCTGATTCTGTTGCGTTCGTTTAGTTGTCGCAGGCGAATAATTTTGTCGAAATTCTCGAGGAATGTCTTTGCTTTCGTATGAATTATGACAGTGTCTAATAGACCTGTGATTTTACAATTAAGTTTTTAATTCTTTTTTTTTATCGTATAATTCGTATCGTAAATTCACTTTCGTATAATCAAAAAGGAAGAAGGGCCACTATTTTTTATTTATTTATTGCTTAGCTTGGTGGACGAGCTCACAACCCACCTGGCGTTAAGTACTTACCGGAGCCCATAGACATCTACAACGTAAATGCGCCACCCACCTTGAGATATAAGTTCTAAGGTCTCAGTATAGTTACAACGGCTGCTCCGCCCTTCAAACCGAAACGCATTACTGCTTCACTATAGTTCACTACAGCTCATTTCAGATTACGAACCATAAACATAGTTTTTAAAAGCAAATATATAAAGGCGAGTGATAGGCGAATTAACTGGTCAACTGTATTCAGATGCCTTTTATTGGAACTGAGAAACTAATAGTCCTTGTCGTTTAACAACTTCCAGAGTCTTTAACTGAACAAGACAGGAGCAAGGTGGGAGTAATTCATGGGAGCCGCGACTTTCCCTACTACCCTATCACACGAGACGCTGCACTAGCAGTCATCACAGCTTTAGCCACTGGAGCTTTTCGTCGGTATGGTACTTTGAGACCTAGTGGTATAACGGTGGTAAAAAGTCGAAGTACAATTTACCTCAGAAACACAAAGATTAAACGATTATAATTACTATCCATGTAAATCTTGAGGAATTTCGTTAATAGTCATGCTATACAAAAAGCTACATAATAATATATTCTATCGAATGACCTTAATTTCTACTCACGTAATTGAGCGCATCTAGCGATTAAAGTCTCTTTATATCTATGTTTCTTCGTTAAGGGATTTCCAATAAAATTTACGTCGACCAATGAGGTCAGTGTGCACAAATCATCAGCTACTGTCTGTAACACAAAATGCTTTTATTAACATAGGTATACAAGCAATTCCCTCAAAGGGCGATCAAAATCTTTGCATACTTATTAAATACCTAGCGTTTTACCCCTTTTAATTTGGGCCGAGGACCGAGTCTTCCACGNTTTCTTCGTTAAGGGATTTCCAATAAAATTTACGTCGACCAATGAGGTCAGTGTGCACAAATCATCAGCTACTGTCTGTAACACAAAATGCTTTTATTAACATAGGTATACAAGCAATTCCCTCAAAGGGCGATCAAAATCTTTGCATACTTATTAAATACCTAGCGTTTTACCCCTTTTAATTTGGGCCGAGGACCGAGTCTTCCACGAGGTTTCTGGATGGCGAGTAGGGTGTGTAGGACTAGACGGTCCGATGGCCCAAGCGTCCGATTCTCCGAAGTCAGAACCTGGGCGGGGTACCGCGTGTCTGGTTACCGTGGTTAACACAGCAACCAGAGACGCGGCCGGGACGCGATACACCGCCAACTGGTTGGTCTTTAAACGATGATAGTGTCCCCCTTGGCGTCGCGCTAGAGTGCTATAGCGCACCGCGCGGTCTTGACCCTCTCAGGTCGCCCCGTGGAGGATGCTTTTCAGCGCCCAACGCAATGAAATGAAAAAAAAAGATCTAAGGGTACCTATTGCTATGATATCATGAGGTGACATGAACAAATAATCAATTTTTTACTGCCGATGCTGCGTGTATTTCGACGGTGCACTATCGTTATACTAGACAGGATGGCACTGGGGATACATATTTTCAAGCCAAATGATGTTGTTAACCTGGTGTAAATGCTTTAATAAAGTAGAATAACATTTGGGTTGTAAAAGTATTCTTAATTAACGTAGTTTTGATGGAAGAAGATAAAATCGAATACTTCAACAACATCCTTAAAACTACATAAGGAAATCAAGCGTACTTACTTTAACATCATCGAGTTTGTTGTTTTTAGCGATCAGCACCTCGAGACGTCGCAGTGGCTTCACCCACGCTACGTCTGTTAATTTATTCTCTGATACATTTAAAACCTTAAGAGAAGCCTACAAAAAAATATGGTAAAATTAAAAACATTAAATTATTTGTGAGTAATCACATAATTTTGAGAAAAACGTTTCACAAGTAAATTCAAGCCCGAATGTTAAATAAAAAATGTTTTTATGATGGTTGCACGAAAGCTCCCTTGGCCAGTTAATCTTCGATTCATTTCTCTGTTTATTAACTTTCGTATTTAGAAAAGCCTAAATATGTAGTCGGATCATTGGCATGTACTGCGTGTAGATAAATACCGCATAACATAAATACCAACTTCTAACCTATACCAAGTCGAAGGGCCGCACTATGTGAGAATCTGTGTATCCAAATCTCTTTATTACTATCTAAGAACAATTTATCAAACTTTTTTCAGGTCGAGCTAAACAGCAAAAACAACGTATGATTTCAAATGAGGCTAACATTTGTTTAAGATGGTTAGTTCTCTATTTTGGCCCCGAATGACGTAATGAAGATAAACACGCTAATGAAGATCTCATCAGTCAAGTTTTGCATACATATCGTACGCGGCAGTTTAGAAAAATCAAATCTGTTGAATTTCGTTCCTGCTGAATCCTGAAATGTAGTTTATTATTTTATAATTTTAATACATACGCCAATAGATAAAGTAGTCCTCGGATCGAAACACAATCCATCAAATCCTTCTGGATTTTGCTTCTCAACGTGTAGTTCTTCTAAATATTTTAAATTCTCCAAATTCTCAACAACATTAATCCGATTGTTGCCTAAATACAATTTTTTTAATTTATAAAGGCACTGTAAGCCTTCAATTTTGCTTATTCTGTTACATTGTAGATGTAAATGCGTCAGATTGTATAAGAGTTCGATGTTTTCAATTTTTTCAATTTTATTGTTGTGATAATAAGCGTAGATTATGTTACTTGGATGTTTTGGTTCGGGCTAAAAAGTAGGTAATGTTATCGATTTTAACGTGAAATCATTGAAATGAGTACTACAAGTTGAGCTGTTTATTAGTAAATAATATGCCTGTGACACTAGAGGTGTTATAATAATATATCAGCTAATTTCTAAAATTTTAGTCACGAAAAAGCATCGTCTCTCAAAGAATAAGATGTTCGGTACTCTGCCCGTCGAATTCGAATGTTGTAGTTTTAATTTCGCAAGGCGAATTTTTTTTCTGAGAATAGATTTTACTGAACATATGCCGCAAAGAAGTTTGAAAAAGAAGAAATAGCATGTCATAATAAAATTTGACTCAGAAAAAATAATTAACTTACAAAACTTACTTACTGATGGTAGGACCTCTTGTGAGTCCGCGCGGGTGGGTACCACCACCCTACCTATTTCTGCCGTGAAGCAGTAATGCGTTTCGGTTTGAAGGGTGGGGCAGCCGTTGTAACTATACCTGAGACCTTAGAACTTATATCTCAAGGTGGGTGGCGCATTTACGTCGTGGATGTCTATAGGCTCCAGTAACCACTTAACACCAGGTGGGCTGTGAGCTCGTCCACCCATCTAAGCAATAAAAAAATATAAAAAACTTACTCATTGCATGGATTATTCGATATATTCGAAACCCACATTTGTAGGTACAATCAATCTACCTATTCCTGCCGTGAAGCAATCAGTCCCAATTATTGTCTTATTTAATACCTATCACTCATGGCACTATGCACATAAAAACACAAGCACAGGGCAGAAAATCAAGAAACACTTACGATACTGGAGATATTTTTTTCGTGCATGAATAAATGTGTTGGTCTTTTGAAAACATTTGAATATTTTCGCTCTACAATTTGCTTTGCTTGTTTGCGAATATTTTTTTCACTTTCTTTTAGCTCTGTTCCTTTCGGTAATTTGCTCATAGTTTGTCAGAAATAACAATAATTCTGAATAGAGAATATTTAAAGGCGAACAGAATTACGAAATGTATATCTTGATAAAAACAACTCTCTCAGTAATGACTGGCTTCTGGTTATTAAGTTTATCAAAAATATTGAATAAACACGGTAGTGTATTTTCTATGGCAACTGGTTTTAAATTGATCAATTAATCAACATAACAACATACCAAAGAGTTTAGAAATACGACGATATCAACGTACCTTAGAGTGTACTTTGTAAGTACTCTAAGTTGTTATGTAACTGTGAGCATAGAAAATACACTTAATTAAAATACCTGTGAGATTAAGATTCCATGATAGATGCAGCTGATCTAGCGTGGTTGTAATTATGTATATCTCACGGTTTTTTTTTTATTATTGCTTAGGTGGGTGGATGAGCTCACAGCCCACCTGGTGTTAAGTAGTTACTGGAGCCCATAAACATCCACAACGTAAATGCGCTACCCACCTTGAGATATAAGTTCTAAGGTCTCAAGTTTAATTACAACGGCTGCCTCACCCTTCAAACCGAAACGGATTACTGCTTCACGGCAGAAATAGGCAGGGTGGTGGTACCCACCCGCGCGGACTCACAAGAGGTCCTGCCACCAGTAATTACGCAAATTATAATTTTGCGGAGTTCATTTTTATTACACGATGTTATTCCTTCACCGTGGAAGTCAATCGTGAACATTTGTTTAGTACGTATTTCATTAGAAAAATTAGTACCCTCCTGAGATTCGAACACCGGTGCATCGCTCAACACGAATACACTGGACGTCCTATCCGTTAGGCCACGACGACTTCTATCCTCCCTTTACCTTTTTTAGTTTTTAATTTATCTTTTATTAACCTCTTTGCTTTAATAGCTTTGTTGCGTGAGCTGTAGAAGTCTATTTAATAGTTAATTTTATTAATTTACTGTTTTTTTGTTTGTTGAAACGTGCTATTAATGAAGAATTGTTACCGTTTAGTATCTCTAAAAGTCCACAAATGGAAAATGTGACAACACAGCTGTACTCAACTGTTTTGGTCAGCATTATCGGCAAACGAGTATCTGTCCCACTTAATAATAAGTGGCAATCGTCTCTGATGGACGTCAACGTCAGAAGCATAGACTAAGACTAATTCCACTGCCGGGGCTCTTCCCAAGCTTCGTTAAAAGATGAAAGCTTATTTCAAAATCAGATGATATGTAAACAGATCTAAGAACTTACTGTGGAAGATGCAGTGAAAGAAATAATTAAAAAACTGTGCACAACCTTTGGTGTTTAGATTTCAACGTTAAGTACCGGTAAAATGGGGCGATTAGGGACAAATTTCAACTTTATGACCAATTTTAAGGTAGTTGTTGATGTATATAATGCTATGTCAGGATCAAAATGATTGAGTCTTGGGGGCATCTTTGTTGTCCAATTTAAAACTATGCAACTAGCATTCCAGTTTAAGCAAAAAAAGCAAAAATAGGTGTAATCCCTATTTACCCGGAAATTGCGGTTAATTGGGACGAAATGAGAAATTTGCTAGGGTTGGCACTACTTGGTTTTAATTTATTTATTTATTTAGTTGCACCAACAAAGTGATCATCAATAAAAAACATTGAAAAACTGACAAAAGTACATGGCAGCTATCACCTCAATTATAGGTGCAATCGACAGTGCATTAACAACAAAATATATTTATATAACTAAAACTTGATTACATTTATTTACATATGATTAATTTATATTTACTTGGGAAATGATCCGCGACAGATTTGTCCTGTAAGTTGTGAGACAATTAAAAAAAACATCTATTTCATCACTTAAAATTAGTTCAGCGCAATCGGACAACTCCGAATGAACATTGACGGAGACCACGCTACCGTGGACATTATTGTAGTCCCAAAGGATTCTGTATATGGAAGAGTAAGCACCTAAATTCGAACGAGTGGGCTGTCTTATGAACGGTTTATATTTCTTCGTTCCGGGTAAGTACTTGGGGCTGATATTTTTATCTGGGTTAAGAGATTAGGTGTGTCGGTTATTCCATGGATTAATCAGATGAATACCTCCACTCTGAACAAATATTAAATATTTTATTATGTATTACTTAGACATTTTTGTCCACCTTGAGATTTCATTGTCCTTGTTACATGTCTGTGCAAAATCGACTTACTTATATTAAATTGCTGAGCTATTTCAACTAAAGACTTATTCCCAATTTCATAGGCTTCTATTGCTGTTTTTAATATTAAGGGATCATATCTCTATAAGGCTTTGCACCCTTTGATATGTACACGCGAGGCATATCTAAAAATAGAAAACAATACGTAACTGATAATATAAATATTTACCAAACAATAAAATAACACATTGATAATTTTGAATAAAAGTTCTAGACAAAAACATAATGAATAAACCAGATTTTTACCAACAAATTAAAAAAAATATTGTTATAACTACATAGACAACCCTACAAACCTGTACCTATTTATACTTAACTCGTTTCCATTTCACTTATTTTCATCCCAATTGACCCCCTTTTCGTTGTTATTTGTACCTAAGACGTCCCCAATATCCCCAAAAACAACAGATTTTTACATGTATTTTTATTTTATCAAATACATTAAAACCAATAACAGCTAAGACTTACCTTTAATATATATGATGGTTCAAACACTAAATAACGTTTAAAATCACAGTCGTCTTCTATTATTATCAAATAAATAAAAGAGAGCAAAGTTTCTAGCACTAAAATAATTACCACCACAGGAAGTTCATTTGAAACGCGATTTTTTATAAGTTAGCAGTTATTATCATGCATATTCAGAGTTGTTTTGTAAACTTTCAACATTCTACTATTAAACTACAAAAAATGGAAGATTTTGCAACGAATGTAATACTAATATTGAGCGTCGAAAGTTTTTCCCGGTTTTTTCCCGATTCGCCTCTCAATCCCTAATCGCCCCATTTTACGGTATTGTATCTATGGTTTAGATACTCCGTGTCTGCAGTAATCTGCACTGCAATTTATGTTATGTATTGTCTATGAATACTTTTTGTTTTGGGCTGCTACCTACGTGATATCAATATTAGCTGAATTAGAATATAAACGATTTCAACAAGCATCTTGCCTTTAAAGTAAGTGTGTATATTTTATTAGAAAAGTTTTATTTATTTTATAACCATTTAATTTTACATTAATGACATTACTAACTCGAACTATAACCTTAAAATAATTTACAGAATAAAATGGGTGAAAGATACAACATTCACAGTCAACTTGAACATCTACAGAGCAAATATATAGGCACAGGCCACGCCGACACTACAAAATATGAATGGCTTATGAACCAACATCGCGACTCTTGCTGCAGTTACATGGGTCATCCGGATTTGTTGAGTTACTTTGCGATCGTAGAAAATGAATCTAAAGCGCGCGTAAAATTCAATTTGATGGAACGAATGCTTCAACCATGCGGCCCACCGCCCGAAAAGCCTGAAGATTAAACACTTCGATTGTAAAAATAGAATTAAGCTAATTTACTTATTATTTTCTTTGAATCCCTTATCATGACATAAATTCGAGCAGTTTGTTTTTATTTCTATAACCTTTAACAAACACAAATAGTACCACCAAAAACTCAACTATTATGAATAAAAACTACAAATAACAGGCATAGTTTTTAAAATGTGTTTTTTGTATAGTTTAGAATTGGTTCAATGGTCAAATGTTTGACAATCTTATTTTTGTATACAAACTTGTTTCATATTGTTTTATCTCAAAGAAATCAGTTTTGATTTCCATTTAGCCTTCTTTATGTATAGTTTAAATACAAAGTAATTTAAGAGATTCTTTAAATAACCTGGGAGTATTTTAATCATGCATATTTTTACTAAAAATATTGAAAAGATTCTTTTTGCCATTTTTATTATGTATAAATGTAAAATTGTTAAATAGGTTACATTACAGTGAACCACCAAAACTGTAAAATTTAGGAAATACATTCATTTTTCAAAGGGGAAGCCAAATAAAATGCAAATTAGTATTCATTGACCATTTAATAAAGATCTCCATTCATCCATTTTCTTTTTCAAAATCTCTTCCCGTTTCTTTGTTTCTGCTTCTAAGTGTTTTTTCAATTCAAAATTCTTTACAACATCCACAACTAGAATTCTTTGTATATTTGGAACTATTATTTCACATTCTTTTAATAAAACTTCCATTACTTTTGTGACACACTCGACATCCATAGAACCGATTTGTGTGAAATCTGAAATCTGTTTTAACTGTGATAACACTGACATTGTTATAATTCCGTGGTTTACTTCTGTACTGTTCTTTGCTATATGTTCTTCTATTTCGGTGGGGTCAATGAACATTTTGTTGCCTATGACTGCTACAGAGCATGATGTGATTATATCAAACATCGGAACGGCAGCATTGGCTAGAGCAAGTCCTGCTGCATTGATAGCAGCTGCTAAACATGACCCGTCATGTTCTAAGATGTATATTAAAACATCAATCTAAAATAGTAAGAAAATGAAGAAATTATTTCATTTTTACAGTCAATCATTATGAGTACATTGGATGGAATATAAATTAATGATGAATTAACAATAATACTTAAAAAAAAATTAACTAGTTAGAAAAAGTAGTCTATGTTATAACAGACAAAAATATGAGCTTTGGAGAAATTGTAACAACACTATTCTCTATCAAAAAACTCTGAATTCATATTTTCAATTATGTTTTAAGTTGTGGTATAAGTTGATGGACTATATTATGTTAAGTGCATATATTATTTTCCTCAGCTTCTCAAATGGCGGTTGCGACTGGCAGCCCAGTTAGGCGGTTATTTGATCACACCAATGGCTAGGTAATTGGTCGTGGGGTCTCTTTCCTTTTACTCTGCCCGTCACAATCACTTTGTCCAAGTTATATGACTGTTGGTGGGCAATATGACCGAAGTAGCTGAGGATCCTCTTGTAACAGATTGTTGAGACCCGGACGAGATGGAAACAGCTCACGACACAGGCCACGATCAAGTTTCAGGGACACAATCTTCAGCGACGAAGAAGAAATTATTGTCACTTAACTGTGACTGATCATCAATGAGGTTTTAGTATTTTATTTTTTGAAAGACTAGATAGTATTGTCCTGAAAATTGCAGTCCCTTATTGCTTTGGATATAACAGAATTATTATTTTACCTGATAGTTTGGGAAGAAGTGCCTACAGACAGCCGGTTCAAGAGCCTGCCGTAAAGCAACAGACAAGGCTTTCTCTTCTACATCAGGAACATACGGTCGACGTTTCCTCGGGCATGAAAACGGTGCAAATTTCACTTCACAATATAACTGGCCAAGCTGACTGAAAGTTAATGATGGCAACAAAAGAATAAAAAAAGATTTATTATATGGCATTAGGATTAGGATTTATTTAAAGCTATTATAGATATAGTATATGGTGGCCCAATGTATTTTTTAAAGCTCGTGTTCAATTAGTTTAATCTGTGGGGAAGAAGAATAATTTCATTTAAATGCCTAAATGTAAGCTTTTTATATATATAGCTGAAATATTGTTAAATGAAGTATCTATGTGAAGTTAAGGTGAAAGAACATACATTAGCTCTAATAGAAATTATTTATTTAATTTCTATACATAATTCTACATACCGGAATTCATTTTGATGTGGTATCTCCCTAGGATCAAATACAGAGCATACAACTTTAGTTTTCCTTAACTCCACATATGCTGAACCCTTTGCTTGTGAAACCATGTCAGTTCTGGCAACTAAAAAAAAAAGTAGATTTGGTATATTATTATGTGGAAACTGAAAATGCACAAATACAAAATTTTGCAAGTTTACAAAATTATTTGTAAATTTTCACTAAAACGAAAATAAGAAAAGTAGTATTGCTGCAAGCTGCAAGAATGTTTTGGAAATATTCTTGAAAACAAATAATTGATTCGTGAGATAATACATTAATATTCAATATCTTGTAATGGAGCTATTTCCAGTTGTGTTATCAAGAGACCGAAGCTAGCGATGCAAGCGTCCCAAAAAGAAACAACAATTCAATTGTTGAAAAACACTAAACCAAACATGAAACTAACACATACAAAACATACACATGCTGCGAGCTTCATTTAGCTCACGTCCATCTTTTCTTTTCCCGTTTTCATCATACAGATCTTTTAATTGTTCGTCGTATGTTTTCAAGTAGTCTTTAGTATATATTTTATATGATACACTATCTTCTGGACCATTAAATCTTCGAAAATCTAGCGGCATGATTATTTACTTGTTTGATATTAATTTATAATGTCACAACATAACCTCAATAAATAAGTAGTTTGTTTTTCCATCTAGAAATGCAAAGGTATTATACCATACGGCCTAATCTTTTATATATTTTTTATATAAGAAATATTATACCTATTATGAAATGAAATGAAGTTGATCAGTATGAAACATGATATAAAATGAAATGAAATGAAAACGAAATGGAATGAAATGAAATGAGATGAGATGATAAAATATGGGATGAAATATGTTGGATGGTTACGTTTGAAGGGATTGGGTTCAGTAGGTGATGAGGGGCTATTTAAAAACACAACTGCTTCATTATAATTATATTGCAGATAGCTTGAACACTTTTACACCATTATACAATTACATATTATCTTTATATTTTTTATAAAACTATTACATGTTTCTCTTGCCGTGTCTAGATGAGAAGTACTTGACATTTTCTTACGAGAACACAATGATCTGTTTTTTAAAACATTTAAAATAATTCCAATATTCGAAATCTAATCAAGTGTCAAGTGTTGCCTGCCATTACATTTAATATACAAACTCCAACAAAATATAATCTCAGTAAAATGGTGGTCATTTACTGAGATTTTTTCAGGTGACTTTGTGGAGGATCCCGAGAAGTCAAGTCCAGTGGCTTTGTTTCATATTCCCACACTTCTGCATTTTCACAGATATTAAACAGTTAATAAACCACCGTTATTACACATTTAAACATGAAGAAACACTAAATAGACAAAATAAAACAAATCACACAACTTCACTCCTCGCGTTCCCGCCAAAAAGTCTCTAAACGCAATTGACAAATGGTCAGTATTAGTAGTTCCAGTTTCCAACAGGACAGGTGAAGATGTCGATCATACAGCCTATTGTACTTTAATCTGGTAGATAAAAATTATATTGATGAAAATTATAGGTATGGATAAAATGAGGTGAAGTTAATTTGTGATGACACGAGATTAGACGGGATGAAATAAATTCTTAGTAAAATAATGTTTATTTACTGAGACTTTTTCAGTGATTTTTTTAGAATATCCCACAATGCCACGAAAAGCGTATTTAGTTTCATTTTCCCACATTTGTACACTTTCACAGATACTAAACAGTTAATAAATCGCCGTTATTACATATTTAAGCCTAAAGAAACACTGAATTAATAAAATAAAACAATTCACACAACTTCGCTTACCGCCCTCCAGCCAAAAACCTGAATGACCAACCTGAATGGTCAACGAATTTTTTTAGAAAAGTTCGATTCCGATTCTATTGGCAAAGGGTAAAAGCTCATTGAATTAAATTTTATTTATAGGTGAAGTTGTAGGATCTGAACGGCATAGGAGTAGTTTGAAGTCGTCGTGGCCTAACAGATAAGACGTCCGGTGCATTCGTGTTAAAGCGATGCACCGGTGTTTGAATCCCGCAGGCGGGTACCAATTTTTCTAATGATATACGTACTCAACAAATGTTCACGATTGACTTCCACGGTGAAGGAATAACATCGTGTAATAAAAATGAAACCCGCAAAATTATAATTTGCGTAATTACTGGTGGTAGGACCTCTTGTGAGTCCGCGCGGGTGGGTACCACTACCCTGCCTATTTCTGCCGTGAAGCTGTAATGCGTTTCGGTTTGATGGGTGGGGCAGCCGTTGTAACTATACTTGAGCCTTAGAACTTGTATCTCAAGGTGGGTGGCGCATTTACGTTGTGGATGTCTATGGGCTCCAGTAACCACTTAACACCAGGTGGGCTGTGAGCTCGTCCAGCCATCTGAGCAATAAAAAAAAAAAGAGTAGATAATTTCAAAACTCACAATTAATATTGCCTTTTTTTTCGTTTTTTCATTATAAACATACAATGAAATGAAGGACAGCCAGATAAGTAATCATCGTTGATCTTGGATATCAATAATTCCCAAGACGCAATATAGCTAAGGCCTCTGCTTAAATTNAAAAAAAAAAGAGTAGATAATTTCAAAACTCACAATTAATATTGCCTTTTTTTTCGTTTTTTCATTATAAACATACAATGAAATGAAGGACAGCCAGATAAGTAATCATCGTTGATCTTGGATATCAATAATTCCCAAGACGCAATATAGCTAAGGCCTCTGCTTAAATTTCATAGAAGGGAATGGAATAGAGCTAGTAAAACTCCTTGGTAAGGAGTTTATTTTACAGCCACATGATAAGTAATCAAACACATAATAATATCTAGGAAAACACTGTGTAGTTTTAGAAAGTACGGATGAATATTTCTCCAGAGGGGAACGGTGCGATAGTAGAAAAGCGACCTCGAACAATTGCTTGAGTTCTATAAAGTCTAAGTTTTACGCCAGGTGTGAAATACTTCGCTCTGCTGACGCTTCTCAACATTTTGGAAATTTCGCTTTACCTGATAAAGAACCACAATACTGAACACTGCTCGAACTGTTGGGTTTAACCATCCTTAATATTCTTGGGAGGTTGCAAGGATACTAAGGATCTTGAGAGATAAGCAATAATAACTGGCTAAACATTTTGGATAGCAAGGATGCTATCGCAATGGGTCTGCTAATGAAAGAGTCACGTCACGACACTTTTCTTAGAGGTATTTTGGCAATCTGTCAACACTTTCAGGAATTTCTGCCAGTGTTGTGTATATCTATCTATCTCTTAGGTTTATGGCGTTTCCTTTTAGATTTAGTGTTGTGTATACGTAAATGATACGTCACAATGTTTCAACTGTTAGAAATGTCAACTGTCATGTAAACCGAGCCGCACGGTATGATTGGTTTGGTGTTTGGGGTTTAGTGGCGAAAAATGTGGAATTTAAGATAGGAAAAGTGGGCATTTGTGTTTATACAGTGTACCTAGTAATGAAATAAAACAGTGATCTGAAGTCTAACATTATTTAAAAAAACAATTAACTGAAGCATCCTTGATACGGTAAGTTCAAAACGAATTTTGACTGAGCTGACGTTTCAAATTTACCAGTACTGAATAAATGAAATTAAGTTTATGCAATGATTTGTTTAAAGTTATTATGATAAAGTTAAAATTATGTTTATTTAACGATAACACAAAACAATGATAATGCAGAGTATGTGATCTGAAAAGGAAAACTGTATAACCAAATTAAATTTATGATACATTTACTGTCACTAAATCATAGCATGTAGAAACGATATTTTTGACATGATAACTGAAATCCAAGCGGGACTATTATTCGGATAAGAACTACAAACAAATCATGATACCATTGTTCCATGATTAACAGATTTCTCTTGAATACGTTAATATATTTTCGATAGGTGACTGATCCTACAGCATCACTGTCACCAACCTTGAATCACAATCAACAGTCAAATTACTGATTTTGAGAGTTCCACAAATTTTTAATTATGTTTTAACAACGTAAAATTATGTTTTAAAACAAGTTTATGCTTAAATAAAGTTAAATGTGATTTTCCGAAATATCTACTATTGTCTGTCTGTATGTAATTAATATTTGAATAAGATTGTCTCACTTATGACATATCCTTCTTCCACTGACACTTGCTGACAGTACTTAGTGTAGGCAGTATGTTGGATGTGCCCCTGACATTGCTGACATCTATAAGCAATGGTAACCAACTACCGGCAGTTGGGCCGTGTGCATGTCTGCCTACAAGGGCAATAAAAATATTTTAGGACATTGTTATAATTTAAGGATGTGAGATCTTGATGACCTATGTGATTATCTATTTGTGGCGGGTAGCCATCATATAACACAAGATAATTGACAGATGCCTGAATCTCGCTTATGACATTTTCAAGATAAAGCGCATATATACAAGTTCTGAACAACAACATTTGGACTGTCGGTCTACCAAGCAATATCACCCGCTCGGTGGAAGATCTTCCTTTCGTCGTAAACCCCTACACTATTATAGCTATAATTTTTCATAATTATAGGTTTTTCACCTTATTTTTTTATACAAAGTACAAAGTAGTTAATAAGTATAAATTAATTCAGAAAATTCAAAAATGATTTCTTAAAATAATCAATTGTTGATATACAAACAAATAATTATAAAAGACTTCATATTGTTTGTCTTACAATTGAATTTCTACTTAATTTAAATTGAAAATAAATTTGCATTACTTATAATATTAATTAATGTGTGTTTCAAAATCTCTTATCTACAGTGATAATACAGTGTTGAGTGGGTATAACATTATGACCCTTAAAAATAGATTAATGACAAAGATATCTTGTAAGTTAGTCTGCTCAAAATTAAATGTTTATTGTCAATATCATTCAATTCTACATATTTAAATGATAATAAGATATGAATAAATTACTCATCATATTTATTTTATCTCTGAAGTATATATTGATGCTTGAAAGGCAAACGAGACTAAGCGACAATGCGTGAACTTTACAGTAGACTAATTTAAAGTTGAAATACCTGAAAAAAAAAATATTTTAACGAATCTAACTGTAGGATTGAAATGATTTTAATAGACCTAGAAATATATTTTTTTTGCGCATTGAATATGGTTATTGCCTATCATTTATGTATAAAGCAGCTATTGTCGCTTAGTCACGTTTGCCTTTCAAGCCTCTATATGATTATACAGTTTTTGTGAGCTATAGACATGATTAGAACTACTGTTTAATCTCACTGAAGTCAAAGAAATTGCCACAACATAATATTTCCATTAGTTTCGTTCCACTGTTCTGTTTATAAAATAATAGACAGTAAATTGCACAATAATCAAATGTTCACAATTTATACCTTAGTCATCTGTGGCCACAAAAACTGTTATATTACTTCATACATTGAAAATAACATAATGATAAAATATGACATTAAACTGTGTAATTTTTTAAGTACTATTATTTCACATGACTAAAAACAGTTTTACCTCATGCTTCTCTTGTTATTCCTTGTTATTGATGTTTTAAATAAATCTTATTTACATACAAAAAATTGTACTACTAATTTTGTGGCTCGGTAAACACTGACTTAGAGTTGAGTTAAAAATGAAAGTAGTATGGGAGACGTATTTTTGT